TTAAATCCAGGGCTCCACCTGAAATCGAGACTCATTCCAGGCTCGTCTCTGTCTATTACTGATAACTTTTGTCGGTTTGATTCCTTCTGCCTTTGAGTTTAATGACATTTAATCATATTATTTAATGATGCTTAATAATGTTTAATAACGTTTCTTGTCTTTCCGTCCCTTTCTTCACAATTCCCACTGCGACCACCGTGGGTTATGCCCTTGAGTCTAACTGTCCCAGGAATCTAGCATGTTTTCTTTTTCTGTCCTGTGACTCCTCTCTCATTCCACAGCTGCCAGAAGACTCTCCTTCAAATGCAGTGCAGACCTTACCCTCCCCCAAACGCTAAATTATCCTTCTACTCCTCACCAAATTAACTAACCCTAATATTTAAAGCTCTCTATACTCGTCCTCCCTCTGTCCCCAACATTTGTAACCTTACCTCCCACTGTGCCCCAGCCCTTTAAGTGCCAGCAAGAGTGCCCTGTCCAGCCTGGCCTGTGGACCGGCCTCTACAGTCTCGCCCACGAGCCGTGCAATCCCATCTTCCTCCCCTCTACTGATCCCAGTCCAGTCTTCAAACCTCACTCTAATCCCTCTTGCCTCCCCACTCTAGAATGATCCAGATGCACCTGCTGCAAATATCACTTATCTCTCTGGCTTTCGGTTACATACTAGTCTCTGCTATACTTTAAATGGTTACGTCTGTGAGTCTTTTCAAATAGGTGGCAAGTGACATGGGGCAAGTCCAAGGTTCTCACTTTTTTGTGTGTGACCGCAGAGCCACGTGGGACTCTAGATGCTGGCCAATGTATCCACAGATATGTTATATTTTTTCCCAAATGGAGGAGCCTACAAAAAATAGAAAGAATAGAGGCAGCCCTGCTTGCCCGTGTAACCATGTTTCCATGAAATATTAAAATCCAAAAGTTAAAATAACCAGGGAGAGATTTTTAGATAGCCAGATGTCTATTATCACCGAGAGGAGACAGCTTCTCATGTAACTCGGGTCTTCGTGGTCCTTTGGTTTTTCTCTACTGTGGCTGAAAAAATGGTTTTTCTTTACTGTGGCTGAAAATTTCCAGTTCAAGCTCAGAAACCATATTATAGGTAGTTAAGTCTTTTAACCTCAAACTTGGTGGCGAGGTGGGTAGGTGACTGGGTTTTAGGTGGTTAATTATTACCAAACAGCTTGAAGGAGAATGTCTGACAATAATTGAACTGGTGGATTTTTTTTTTTTTTTTTTATGTTTTGGTTCTAAATAAAGTGGACCCCTCCCCATCTACCGGAAGGCACAAATGCAGCTTCTGGTGGGAAGTCCCGAGAGGCACACCTGGGCAGGTGAGATAAATAGGGTTCTGGTGCAAACCCCACAGGACGCGAAGAGTAGGCGGGCTGCATGCTGATACTCTGAACGTCAACGTGCCTGAATTTGAGGAGCAAAAGGCTTCCACAGTTTTATTGGGACTGACCTCATGTTAGGACAACAAGTAACGGCAGAACTCAGGGTGGGAAGAGAATGGTCAGCCTGAGATGCAGTTGTAAGCGGTTGAGAGGAGCGAGCCTAGGAAGACTCCCATCAGCCAGAACCGTCATGACAGGGGACAAATGGTAGCTGCCGGCCACTTATTTGCCCAGACTGACCCAGAGGCACGAGTCAGGCTCTCCCTAACTCCGGCTATCTGGAACTTACGCCATCCAAGCACCCCTCTGTCTCGAGGCCTGTCCACCAGCCTGCACTGTTCTCTCTCATGCTTCATTCCATGGCTATGTCTGTGCCATTTAGCATCTAACGTATGCTTGTGATTGTCGTCTGCTATTGATTATCGTATGTGTCCATATGTGTCTGGACAGGCATGAATCTCATGTGAATGAGACTGAGTCTTTGCCGTAGTTAATCCAGTGGGCACTGAGTTGTGACTGTGCTAAATGGGAGTTAGAAATCGCAGGGAATGTTTCTGAAGTAAGCAGATGCTGGAAGATTGGCAGAATGAGGGAGAATGCATTCCTTCCCCTCCCCACCTCGACCGTTCCCATGAGACTCCTGAATGTGGTGCAGGGCGAGGACAGGCTGAGTTCGTTCTGGGGCACTTGGGGCCAGCTCTGGGATGCCGGAATGCTTCTAAGGAGGTTTTCAGAGCCCTGAGTCCTCAAGGAAGAATATGCTAAATGTGTGAGTGAGCTTTTGGATGGGAGGGTGGGCACCACATGGAAAACCATTTGGTGAGAAAAGCAGAGCATTTCCGTGTGAAGCACGACGGTACAGCCCTCTGCTCCTTCCCTGTAATAAAACTCCAATTTTGTCTAAGGGTCAGAGGCCCTCTGGGGTGCCTGGGCCACTTCTGGGGGCCGGGTGACTTCTAGCCATAGTAATGCTCTCCTTGGCCCCGGATTTGGGCATAGACACACAGTGCAATTCTGGCCAATATGCTGCGGGGGGAAAGCTGTTGGGGGTCTCCTGACTAAGGTTTTACTTGTTCCTAAAAAGGATCGTATGCGGTGAAACTTCCTTTTTCTCCCTGGGATGTTGCTGTATGAGAATATGATCCTTGGAGCCACTGCATCCTGAGGGGACATGTTTGAGGTTGTCCCGAGGACTATGATCCTTGGAGCCACTGCAGTTATCTTGTCATCCTGAGGGGACATGTTTGAGGTTGTCCCGAGGAGGGTACGTAGAAAGATGGGAAATACCTGGGTCCCTGATGACTTTGCCGAGCGCTGAACTAATTCTGGAGATTTCCCCATCTCCACACAGTTTTTACCACATTTCATCGGTTTTGAGTTATGTGTATATATATATAGTTTACATTTTAATGTTTCTGAAATCAGGACGCATATTTTATGGTATGTTAGTTAAACTGGCAGCATTTCTTCTTTTCTTAGTGGAATTTAAAATAATTGGGTGTTTACAAAAGATAGCATCTAAGATTTGATGAAATGTGGAATTCTTTATTATTATCTTTTAGTAGGTTTTTCATTACTTTCCTCTAAAAGTAATGATGTGGCTGCTCTCACAGGAGGCGGGGTGTGGGAAGGGCGTTTGGAAGAGAAGGTGACAGAGCTGGGAGCGGCCCTGCATGAGGACATCGCTGGCTCTGAGGAGGCCTGGACTCTGGTCCCTCGTGGGGAACAGCTCTGCTCTTCTTGGGGTTTGGAGCGAATGATCTGTGCAGGATCCTGCCTTCTCCCCAAGCACAGAGGCAGCCACAAGCAACTGCAGTGCACTCTGTGGCTGGCATGGGTCTTAAAATAACCAGTCACAAAGGGCATCACCTACACTGACAATGGCCTTGGTCTTTTTGAAATCTGGAGCCCAGGAGCACTTAGCTGCAGAATGAGAAAAGGCAGCAGAAGAGGATAAGTAGATCAGAGGAACTGAAGCCAGGGGCAAACGCTCAGCCCTTCCTCGTCACATTGTCCAAGAATTGGAGGCCATCCTCTACTCCACGCTCCTGGCCCCTTTCCTACAGCTGGCGGGAGGTGGGTTATTGCCCCTCCCCCACTGAGGACAGCCCTATCGCCTTCCCTGTCCTCCTTCCATCCCCTGCCCTTTGCAGTCCCTAATCACAGAGGGACTGAGATTAGCATCTCCAAACCTGAGATGTCTCTTCACTTCGAATTACGTTTCACTCTTGACAGTTTAAAACACAAGACCGCAAAATAAAACTCTGCCTGCGCATGGCCCCAGTCCTCCCGGATGCATGGGCGTGAGTACCCACTGCACTCAGGGAGAAGCCGGGAGTGTCTAACTCCTTGGAAACAAATTAGTTACGTTCTAGGCTGCTTTTCTCCAAGCAGCCGAAAGAAGTTCCGTGGGCCAGGCTTCCCGCGCTCGTCTTCCTTGAGGTTGGAGGACGCAGGGAAGAACCGCGTGAGGGGCAGGGCAGGGGTGGCAGGGGGGGCAGGGCCCTCTCCTGCCTGGACCACAATCCCCCCACCCCTAGAGCTTGGCAGAGTCCCGGGGCCTCAGGCTTCTCCCCGTCTCCTCCTCCGTCCCTCCGCCTCCTACAGGGGCCCAGGTGCAGCTCTGCCCTCAGCCCCTGGGGCAGCCGGGGCAGCGCTCGCCGAAGCTTAGGGAAGCCGACCTCACTCACCCACGTAGAAATACTCTGGCGACTTGTCTTCTGATGAGAAATCCTTCATGGTGCCTCCGAACCGAAACCATAGTCCAAAAGCAATGACAGCCGACCCCGCCAGCTGAAAGGTAAAACACGCTGCTGAACAACCCATGGACGGGGGTGTGCACGCACCCCGGGAGCGGGCTGGGGACCGGGACGCCGTGGTCTGGAAGGGCACCACAGGTTTCACAGGGGAGGTGAAATGGTGTGCTCGGCCCCCTCCCCATGGCCCTGACGTGACGCTGGGACTGGAGTGTCCCGGTGCAGAAGCGCGGGCTTCTTCCCAGGCCGCCCGGCTGCCCTGGGTTCCCGGGTGTGGACCGCGCGGAGCGGCCTGGGAGGCCCCTCGAAGAGAACTTTCCCGCAGCGACCCCCCTGGAAGGCATCTGTGCCCTGCCTCACTGTCCCTTCCCTCCTGACACCGTGAGAGGGGACTGTGTTTCAGCCACCAGGTCATCAAGACCAAGATGAACTCCAAGACCTAGGGGAAACCTGCTTTTCTCCATTGAAAGAGAACACACGAGTGCCCAGTGAGAAAGCAGTTTCAGAGGCGTCTGGAGCCCTACCTACCCAAGGCCTCACGGTCATCGCGCTGCCTGCGGATGGTTTTGCAGGCTCGGAGGGAGCTTGGCTGGATTT